AGTTTAATGGCAAACAGTATGGGTGGGGTTGGGTGGGAGGGAAGGGAAGGGGCCACTTGGGGCTCCACAGTCACCTCTTCATTGAATAGCTTGCTGGTGTCCTTCTTGATGAGGTCCAGGTACTGCACCTGGCCGGCTGAGAACCCCACCAGCAGGGAGATGGTCTCCGTGGCAGCAGTGAACTGGTTGAAGTCGTGGCAGGTGGGCTGGGTGCCCTTATAGATCCGCTTGTCAATTGGCTTGTTGAGGTCGATGGACTTAAGTGATGGGAGAAAAGGAGTTAATGGTTTCTACCACTGAGGAAGGAAGAGGGTGTTGAGGTTGGAGAAAACCACTAAGCGGAAGCAAAGTTAACCCCCCGAGGGAAGTGGGCAGGTAGATGGGTGAGTGGGGAGGGAGGGAGCAACCACAGACAGGAAGAGGGACCCAAATTTCATACAGAATAGAGAAAAGAAGACAGGAAGGACCCCCCCGACCCAGGGCAGAAGACCACAGTGCCTCCCCAAAGTTGGACCCCTCCAACTTCAGGGACACCCTTACTCACAGCATTAGGGTTCGGGGTCCCCATAGTCCCTGAGCTCTGATTCCTTTCCAGTCCTACCTCATAACCTCAGCCGTCTCCTCTGGGTCTTAGCAACATAATATTTCAACACCTGCCCCGCTCCCGCCCCGCCCCAACTCAGGGTCACCCAAATCCCCAGGCCTCTAAAGCTCATCTCAGGAGTCCCTACATCAGTGCAGGGACCATTAAACCTCATGGTACCTTCACACCCTCTGGACGCTCAGGACCCCATCCCTCCTGGGGACCACCGTAAGCTCCAGGGGTCTCATCCCCTCTGGCCCCTAGATCACTGCGGAGACCCCATCACACCTGGGGATGCCCCCTCCGGGCTTCATCACCTCCGGCTCTGCCATCAGCTCAGAGATCCTCATTTCCTCCAGAACCGTAATTTTCTCTGGGATCCCTATAACCTCTCAGCCCCCATCACTTCCGGAATCCTGACCTTTGCCCAGGTCTGGAGACGACCCCCCTGCCCCTCCTAACACCTCCACAGACTGCAATGCCCCTGGGTTCTGCACCACCTCTGGGTTCCCGTCACCTGCAGAATGCCTGCCACCCAGAACCCCGAGGGTCTACATCACCTCGGATTCTCCATCACCTCCAACATCCTCATCATCCCAGAACCGCCGCCCGCCCCCCCCCGCCAATAACGGGGATCCCACAGGACCCCAAGGCTTCCCATGCCCTCCAGGCTGCCCGGCACCGGGAGGCCTCCATCGCCTTAGGATGATGCATCAACCCCAGAACCCTTCCCCTCAGGGATGTCCATCACACCCAGATGCCGATCTCCGGGCCCCCTAGGGACCCCCACCCGCTCAGCACCCCGGCCGCCCAGGACGCAGGCCGCTCACCCGTTGGCTCCCGCGACGGCAGCAGCCCGGGTAGAAATAGAGCTCGCGGCCCAGGTTGAAGCAGACACGGTCTCCTCCTCCCCCCAGGCCCG